AATATTGGTACAGGTTGCCATTCTCTCCTCCAGGGGATCTTCCCAACTCAAAGATCCAACCCATGTCTCCTGGGTCTCCTGCATTGGTAGGCAGATGCTTTACTACTGAGTCACCTGGGAATTGCCTGCTATGGACTAGCCATCAGCAAGAAAATGGGACTGAAGATAAAGGCAAGGTCTTCAGTGAACCTCACCGTTGAGCACATAGAGCCAGACACAAGTGAGCACACACTGGGAGCATTCTGATAACATAAAATCCAGTAACGAATCAGAAAAGCAATGGCTTTGAGGGGCACCAAATGGGAGGGACCCGAAGGAGTCATCTGGGTGCTGGAAATGTCCTGGAGCTTGACCCGGATGGTGGTCATGCAGCTGTTTACAGCATAAAAACTCATCCAGCAGACTAGGGTCTGTGTGTTTACATGGACCGTACCTCAATGAAGTCTGTTTAAAAAACACCACAGGCCATGTACAGTGGCACAGTACGTGAGAATCCACCTCGACATGCAGAAAACGTGGGTTTGATCCTCGGTCCTGGAAGACCCCACATGAGGTGGAGCAACTAAGTCCATGTGCCACAATTATTGAGCCCAGGTTCTAGAGGCCACTTGCTGTAAATACTGAATCCCACACCCCTACGGCCTGTGCTTAGCAACAAGAAAAGGCTCAGCAATGAGAAGCCCGTGCACAGCACTGAAGAAGCCTCCCACCTGCTGCAACTAGAGAAAGCCAGCGCAAAGCAATGAAGAACAAGCACAGCCAAAAGCAAAGAAAGTAAATAAGTGAATTTTTAAAAATTTAGAGACCACTCCCAAACTCACAGAGCCCAGGGAGAAACAGGGACAGCTAGAGTTCAAGGGGACATGCACTTTGACATCTCCAGGTGATTTGGAAGTGAGTTACAGTGAGTCCAGCCCCAAAAGGAGAGCCCAGGTTCCTCTGCTCCAGCCCTTTAGGGAGGGCCTACTGCCAAACCCGAAGGCCAATGGGTTTTTGGATGAATCAAGACCGAAAGGAGGTGTCTCCAAGACCTAGGGCCTGGCACAGCTGACCTCAGCAACCTGGTGTCACAGTATGTGCGGTCACTGAGACCTTTCCCAGGATCTGGCTTGAGGTGAGAGGCAGCCCTCGAGCTCCATTATTTAAAGTCCAGACACTTGTCTGAGGTTCTCTGTTCTCTGCACTGTAGACCATAGGATCTGTTCTAAATGTGTTGGCCACTTCACCCTCTCAAAAAGCCAGAAACTGACAAGTGTTGATGAGGACATGGAGAAAGGCCTTTTGTGCTATTGGTGGGAATGTTAAATGGTGAGGATGTGATGGGAAATACAGTGTACGTGCTTGACCCTAAGAGACTGGCCTTAAGCTTCTGATTGCTAAAGCGTCCATTTCAAAGACACCCATCTTTCCTAAACATGGTGCCGGCTGTGTGACACTTCTAGGTAAGCCGCCATGCTTGCCCCACCCATCAAGTTCTCCTTTCTAGGAAACCTTGGGCAACCGAGATAACTGTGTGAGTGACCCCACATGTCTCTTCCTGCAGCCTGGTTCCTGCGTAACCACCCTACCTTTGGACCCAAATAAAAGCAGAACCCCAATCTGCACTCTCACCCCCTCCTTCCCACTGGCCATTGTTCTATGCGGCCCTCGGGACTTGAGAGTAATAATCCTCGTTTTTTTCAAGGCTACCTGATGGGTGTTGCTGAGCTGTGTCTTGAAGTCATGATAAGAACCACAGGGGCCCATCTGGCCACAGTACTGGCTCCAGCTGGGCTAATGAGGGGGGCTCACATGAGTAGTAAAGACCCACGCGATTGCCCCCGGTGTTCCTGAACAGAGAGCATCACTATCAATAGTCTGAGACAGACCCTACAAAACAGTACGGATGTTGCCTTAACAACTAAACACAGAATTACCATGTGATACAGCAATTTCACGTCTGGCTTAGATGGTAAAGAATCTGCCTGTAATGCAGGACACCTGGGTTTGATCCATGGGTCGGGAAAGAAGATCATGGGAACCACTCCAGTACTCTTGCCAGGAGAATCCCATGGTCAGAAGAGCCTGGCAGGCTACAGACCATAAGATCCCAAAAAGTTAGTCACAGCTGAAACAACTTACCACTGCCAGCAATTCCATGTCTGGCTATATACCCTAAAGAACTGAAAGCAGAGACTTGAAGAGATATGTGTACACCCATGCTCCTGGTATTATTTACAACAGCCAAGAGATAGAAGCAATACAGGTGTCCATCAATGGATGACTAGATAAACAAAATGAGGTCTATATATACAATGCAATATCGTTCAGCCCTAAGAAGGAACTGAATTCTGCCATGAGTTACAACATGAATGTTGGGAAATGAAGAAATTTTCCTCTACCCTTCTAGGTTTTCTGGCCTGTCTAAGGTTAAATTGACATGAGACATATTAAAAGGAAAAAAATCTAACAAAGGTATAGTAACACTTGCATACATAGGAGAGACCAAGGAGAACTACCCACCAAAACAGTCAAAACCATCACTTTAAATACCACCTTCAGCTAAAATCACAAGAAGATGTTGAGGGCAATGGTTTGGGACTTCAAAGATGAGGAAGGCTATTCACAGAAAAGTCAATGTTTGGTATATAAGTGCTTGCTGGGTGCAGAGTGGACTCTGATCTCTAGGATGTGCAAGGTTTCCCCTACCACACCTCACTTGTGTTTTTCTGTAAATATCACTGCTCAAGGCTCTATTTCTACATCAGGTCCTTTATCTGCACTCTTTGCTGCAGTTCTTCAGTTCAGTTGCTCAGTCATGTCCAACTCTTTGCAACCCCATGTTGAGGAGGAGGTAAAAGAAAAACTTTGAGCCTTCAGTTTCTTAAGAAGAATCAGCCTAAATGAGTCCTCATGCCAAAGTGACACATTTAGGGGTGGCAAATTTTGCTCCCCTACACTCTCTAAGTTTCAGTCTTTCCTCATCTGTGAGATGTAGCTAATCACAGGCCGTGTTTGATGTGATTGTCATGAGCACTGAATGAGCTGAGGCTTGGAGGGCACTTAGTCTGGCTACAACTCACCAAACTGCGTGCCAGTTATCTTCTACCGTCTGATTTGGAATCACTAAGAGCAAAGACTTCCCTTTAATCTCCTTGGAAGGGACTGTACCAGATCATCCCAACTACGTGGATGGCAGTCAAGCTCTTGAATCTAGGATATACGTCTCAGGACTGAAGAAGACCCCATATGACACCTGGTCCTGTCCAGGTGATGGAGACTTCATAATCAAAGTGAGGAGGAAGAGCAATAGATGACGTTCAGGTAGGCTGCTTTGGCCCGAGACAATGGATCAAGTCTTCACGCTTTAACAAAACATGACACCCTTTCTCCTTCTTTTCCTTTCTTTTTCTCTGCCACTGACTAGGAAAGATAAAGCCCCAATCTGTAACCCTCAACACATTGTTAAAGAAAGTAATCTTTCAACTGAATTTACCATCAGAACTCCCAATCCATCCATCACTATCTAGATCAGATTTACCTCCACTCAGTACAATTCATCCACGCACAGTAAAACCAATCTACTGACACGGGGTTATGATGAAGGGAAGTGCAGCATTTATTGCAGGTACCAAGCAAGGGGTCCAGGCAAGCTTAAAAAACCCGTGATGACTTTCAGGGAAGTGGTCTTAAACACAGGGTGAGGGAGAGGGTGAGGGGTGTGTGATCAGCTCATAGATGTCTTCTGATTGGTTGGTGGTGAGGTAATCGGGAATCAATATCATCAAGCTTCTGGGTTCTACGACCTTGTGAGCACCATACAGTGAGCATCTTCCACATGGTAGGGATTTCTATATCTGTAAAGCAGCACAAAGAATTTGGTTCAGAATACTGCCTATAGCTCTTGAGGAGGAACTAAAGGTCCTTGATGGTGTTTAACGGCTAACCTATTATCACTTTGTTTTGCTTGACTGTTACCCTTTGCTTCTGCATTTTCTCACTTAAATTTTATCCTTGGAACTTGGGGAAGGCCTAGGAGGCTAAAGGTTTATAACACTAGTGGGGCATAGGGCTGTCCCAGGATGCCCCCGATAGGGTCCTGCTGGGTTACAAATGACAGAGGGATTAAGCAAAACAATCACGGCCATGGATACCACACCAAGGGTGAACAAAGCTGTGGGGACTATATATTGGTAGCTGAGAGTGATGCTAATGCCTTACATTCTGATTGTACCTTTTGGTTAGGCTGAGAGTTTGCTACAAAGTGGGGCATAGTTGAAGAGAAAACCACAGGTTCAAAATGGCCTCACTTTTGCTGAAGCCCATGATGCCAAACCTAGGTTTAACACCTGACCTAACTGTAGCTTTGAACTTCCTCAGGAATGTAGTCTTAATCAGCCAGCCTGGAACTTTCTAGTCAGCATCCTTGAGGTAATCAGTCTTCTGGGACCTCTCCATCTTCAGGAGGAAGAAGAAATCTACCTGCCCTCTTTTCCTAAACAGTGGTGAAATGCACATCATGTAAAATTGACCATCTTAAGTGTACTGGCTCAGACTGTAAAGAATCCACCTGCAATGCGGGAGACCTGGGTTTGATCCCTGGGTTGGGAAGATCCCCTGGAGGAGGGCCTGGCAACCCACTCCAGTATTTTTGCCTGGAGAAGTGCCATGGACAGAGGAGCCTGGCGGGCTCCAGTCCATGGGGTGGCAAAGAGTTGGACACGACTGAGCTACCAAGCATACACACAAGTGTACCTACAGTTCAGTGGTGTTAAGTCCACTCCTGTGGTTGTGCAAAAATCACCACCATCCAATTCCTGAACTTTTTCATCTTGCAAAATTGGTCGTGACCTTTTAGATGTTGCTAACACATTCAAAAATTATAATACACAGAGAGGGCCAAATAAACCCGGGAATAGCCACAGAAAGGATATACTGTGCCCTTTGATGTGTATTGTCTCATTGAACTCACACGACGACCTGTGGGGAGGCCGATTATGCTCATTCCACAGGTGAGGAAACTAAGTCTGGGAGAGGTGAAGTCGCTCGCCTAAGATTCCGCAGCCAATGAAAATGGCAGAGCCGGGGATCTGAGCTGTATTCAGTTTGATTCCAGGTTCTTTCGAGAAGCACAGGGCCTCCTCACCAGGGGGATGGTAGAGAGTGACAGAGACAAGAAACCTACTAGTCCAGGAGGTCCCAGACAGACACAGCAACACAAGAAGGACAGACTGGGGCAGCCAGAGTGTGTGCCCAGAACCACCTGGAGACGAGACTGGCTGGCACCTTTGGGCTCACACAGCAGGACCCACACAGGGGACGGGGCCCCACAGCCAGCCCCTGAGGACGAGTGCTGGGTGCACAGTCTGACCTGGATGCTGAGGCAGGACGGATGCACGCCGCCCTTGATGGAGATGCTGTTGAATTGGTGGAAGGGCACACGGTGTGCATACTCCATGAAGATGTTCTTGTTCACCATCACTTGTTGAGATGAGTGCACATGGCAGGAGATGGTCCAGGACCAGGTGGGAGCACACCCGTGCCTCTGGGACCCCTGCTTCTAGATGTTTAGACCTATATCTAGTTTTTACATCAATCCCCTGTAGGTCAGGGCAACAGCCTTCAGAGCTGTGCCAGTTACAGGACCATGCTTGGGACCCTAAGTGCATCAAAAGGCAATCTCTACCTGACTCTAGAAGAAGCCTTGGCTTCTTCATACTTCTGGTGTTTGTTTATTGCAGTAAGTTTGTCTTTCTAGTCTTAGCTCTCCCATGGTGTTATTGAAATATACATGCAAATGTCCATGGGGAGCAGAGAAGTGATGTCAGATTGTATGATGACACGGTGGGGACATTCATGTTCACACCAAGAAAAAACACAACAGATGTTCTCAGCTCCCCTCCCATCTCCCCAAGCCCAGAGACACCACTCTGCTTGCAAAACCAATATGCAATGCCAGGCAGAACTAAGTCTTTAATAACACCTGGATAAATGCAGCAACAAGGTAACAGAAAAACAAATGTTCCCAGGGACCTGGAGTGGAAGAAGGACTACAACAGAGAAATGGAAATAACTTGGACTGAAAGACCCAGGAGGCCAAAAAGCATCATGGTGACTTCTCTAGTGCTTACTTCCAGAGTAAAAGAAGCAACAAGTGTACCTGTAGATGCAGGTGAAGGTGTGTAAGGAGACTGCAGCCTTACAAGGAGATAGTCCTCTTCTCTGTACAAAGTGTTGCTCACATGATTATTTAAAGGCTACTCACAGCACCTTATGGGGCTAGGGAACAGACAGCTAAAGAGAGGAGAGTTCCCACTCACCTTGAACGCGGACCTCTCTACCTCGAAGCAGATCTCAAATGGACTCCCCTTCTGGAAGGGCATCTGCATCTTCTTCTCCTCTGGCCCCCAGTTTCCTAGCTGCTTCATGTTGCAGACCACATACCTGCTTCCTTCAAACCGCGGGTTGAAGTGGAAGGCAATTTCACTGTCATTGTAGTCCATCTGAAAGTTCACTGCAAAGCTAGGTCAAGAAAAATCAGAGTATCCTGGCTTACTGCCAAGGGTGGGAACAGGAGGTGCTCACTCTGTGACTGACATCTGTCTGGGAACCTGCATACAGCCTGCGTGGCTGGTCGGTACCCACCCCCAGTCTCTTCCCATCCCTTTGGTTCACCTCATTCACCTTAGTGTGTTTTCTGCACTTACCACATTTTGTCCTTACAGTGTGGTTTTCTAAAAATAAGGAGGAAATGGGTAAAGAAATTTGTGTCCAACATGGATATAAAGAGTCTAAATACAGACTGGATATATAGAGTCTCTAAAAGTGAGTCTTTGGGGCCAAGTGGTGGCTTCCTGGAAGTCAGCCTATGTCTGCTCAGTTTGGAAAGAGGACAAATGGAAAGAACAAGTGCATAGATGGGACACCTACAGAGATGGTGTCTAAAGGGGAGACACAGAAAAAACCCTAGGTCTCTGGGCATGGGGACGTAAGAGTGTGCGTCTGTCCCTCTTCAGAGGTTGTCGTGTGTCCACCTGACCTGAGTGAGGTCAGCAGGCCTGGACCCTGACCCCAGCTCTGCCCTGTTTGTCATTTGCAATGACTTGGGACCATGCTATCCTCCAGCTGCCCCACCCAGAAAAGGGGTGACTGCCTTCCTTCGGGGATGACAACTGAAATGGCCCAAGGGCACCCCTAAATAAGTATCTCTTGTTCCCATCTCACCTTGGAGGAAGCCCCTCACCATCTCCACCTCTTCTGGATATAGCTGAAACTATAGGGTGAGGAGTGAAGACAAAAGGAGCTTCCAAGGGGCCTAGCTCACAAAAGGGGTGCAATAAATCCTTGTTCTGCTTTTTCCCAGATGGAGCTCATGCATGTCCCTTAACCAAGGTCCGGCCTGAATTACCCGATGAGGCATCTCTCTCCCAACACCTTTCCTGAGCTCAGTGCTAAGGTGGTTCCCAGTCTGCTTCTGGGGTCACTCAGGCTCCCAACTAACACACCAGTCAGACAGCCCGTCTCAGTCCCGTGGTGTCACCGCAGAACCAGCACTGCCCCATGCCCATGGGTGGCCCTCAGTGGCCATTCTACCTGCAGAGTGCTCTGTTTTGCTTGTTTATCTGGGGTTTCGAGCTTCACGGCTCGAGGATCTTAGTTCTCTGATCAGGGACCAAATCCATGACCTCTGCATTGGAAGATTGGAGTCCTGACCACTGGCCCACCAGGGAAAACCCCCAGAGCCCATTTGCTTTCTTGGTTAAGGGTGTGAGTTCTGAATGCCTTCCTAAATACCAGGATGCTCTGTGAGCCCTCGGCCATCAGGGCCCAAGAGGAACTGGTGTGTTACTGAACCCAGCAGCCCTCCCTCCCTCCAATGAAAACGAAGCTCCAAGTGACTCTGAAATGAGAAATTTTAAGTTCCTATTTCTCTTGAAGTGGAGAATAGTGTTTCTGACATGTCTCTGGGTGTCGTTTTTGCCTTTGCAGTCCCCCAGCTTCATTGCTGTGCTCCTCTGCAGATTCCGCCCGAGGGAAGGCGAGAACAGCAGGTCCCGTCGGAAGGGGGACCCTCGGAAGTAGAGACAGGCCCCATCAGACAGAGTGGAGCAGAAGGCCATCCTGTGCTGGGAGGAAGCATTGGCACAGGGAGGGGGAGAGAGGGGTGGGAGTTCAGAGTCAAGTTCCCGGATTCCCCTGCTGACCGCGTTTCAGAACCGGATGTGTCACTTCCCTCAGAGTCCCCTGCAGGCGCTCAGGGCTCTCAGAGTCCCTCAATCACTGTGGCCAGGTCAGCTGGCAGGGGAGACAGTGGCAGAGGAAGTCGTCTAGAAGCCAGAATTAGAAGTAGGGCTGCCGGGGGAGGTGCCTGGAGGGATCCAGAAGGTCCCCAGGCCCCACGAAAAGTAATGAAAGGAACAGTGGGAGTAGAAGTCAGCTGGGATTGGACAGAGAGGCTTCTGAGAGAGGCCACGTGTACAGAGGGGCCCCCGTGGGCACTGCAGACCTCAGGGTGCACAGGCCCCAGGCCTCCACACCACGGAGCTCAATAGAGTTCAGGGCTGTGTGAACTCCTGAGGACCTCCCACCTCTGGAATCCATGCAAGCTCTTCTCTGTTCCCAGACAGTCCCCCTCGGGAGAAAGGGGATGGGAAACAGAGCTGAGTTATCTATATTTTGAATTGACTTTAGTGGGAAAAACCTTGAGACTGAAAGAGACCAAATAGAACTTTGATGGCAAGGTTAAATATTTCCAAATCACCTCACATGAAGTTTCCAAAGTAGATGAGACCGGCTAGAGGAAATGCAGGGAGTTGACGGATCTGCAGCTCTGGGTCACTGTATACAAAGTTCAGTTCCAGAACTCCGCCTCTGGGCTGGCCTGCTTCCCTCCCTAGACCGTGAGCCTCCATTCCCCCTGTCTCTGGGGAGTCTGCTTAATGGTGCCCCGGATGCTCCATGTAGGTGGTAGGGGCGCTGAGCATTGTTGGCAGGGCCGGGCTCTTCCCATCCCCTGAGCTGGGTGTGGGCAGCTTGGAGGATGCTAGGTGGACCATCCTGAGCTGACAGCACCCTGGTTCACTCAGGGATGAGGCCGAGAGAGACAATTCCCAGTACCCTTTTTCGCCTGTGAAAAGAACACTCCCCATGATGGTGATCTTGTGCCCATCCTGGAGACCCCCTTCGATCAACCCAGTAAAGGGAGGGGGCTGTGGAGAGGAGACAGTGATCAGTTGGCCTGCCTCCTTCTCTCCGTCCTCTTCAGCCCTGGCCGGGGGCTGGCCTGGGTGTGGGGCAGCAGCCTGGGGGCCACGTGCGGCCACGAACAGGACAGAAGGAGCCTCAGCTCCACGGACCTTCCAGCCCTGGAGTGAGGAAGTTACACAGATATTCTGAGGTTGCAAGAAGGAGCCCCTCAGGCTCTGAGAGGATGTGACAGGGTCAGATTGGCAGCTGCCGAGGGAAAGAAGTGACGAGTACGCAGCCCTGAGACGGGACGGAACCAGGGGAGAGAGGGGGGTGGCTGGACCCCAAGCCAAGCTGCTAGTAAAGACCCAAGTCCTGGCTGGGGACTCAGGTTCCACCATGGACCAAAGAGACCCACTCCCTGTTCTCAAGGATAAACCTGCTCACCTGAGCAGGCCAAGAAGTCATCCTCCCCTTCCTGCCCACCCCACCCAGAGAACAATGGTGACCTTGACCTTTGTCCCTCCACAGCCTCAGAAAGTGCCTCTTCCCAGATGCTCTCTGCAGCCATGGGGCAGCCCACCCTTTTACTTCCATTCCTGGGCCCCCATCCTTCCTCCAGGCAGCCTCCAAAGTCCTCAGGTGGCATCTCCACCCCTTCTGGGCCCCATTTCTTTGTCTCTTTCCTGAGCCTCTTTATTAAAGGACCCAGGGTTATGGTGAAGATGCTCCATTTTAGAGTCAGGCATCCTTCAGGTTTGAATCCTAATTCTGCTGCTCATTACCTGAGTGGCCTTGGGAAGCTTATTTAACTTCTCTTTGCCTCAGTTTATTCATCCATGAAATGAGAACAAGTCCCAGCTTCTGGGTGACACTGATGATTCTGTGAGAAAATGTCTATGGGGAGAGACTGGCGCATCCTTCCAGAATGCTTTTTATCTAACATGGTTCTACAATTGCCTTCAACACAGCTCTGTCTCCAAGTCAATTTTCACATTTTCACACTGTTGAAGTATTTTCTACCTTCTCCTCTAAGTAATATTTTACAAAGATTAAATGCTTACAGGAACCAGGCAGGTGATTTGCATAGTTGAACTGGCCAGGTAGGGGACAGTCGGAAGTGGTGGAGACTGCATCAAAGTAGGCATCATCTTCCTTATCTAAAGAGCAGTGTCCACTCAGCTGTAACCTGATTACCTTTCAGGCCCAGTGTAGTCAGAGCTTCCAAGTCTTTAGGAGAAGGCAGAAATCTGAAATTTTTCTTCTGCAAAACTTTCTAATTTTGGGGGGGGGGGGGCGAAATGCTTTGGAAAGGATTGTAGTAGGTTTCCTTTTCTATAAGAGACATATAATGAAATATTTGCATTGAATTGATATATCTCAATTTGCTTCAAAACAATCCAGGGGTGGAAAGGAAAGTAGAGCTGGGCAGAGATAAAGCAGATAGTTCACGCGTTGAAACTGAGTGACTGGTATGTGTTGTTTATGATACTAATATCTCTTTGGCAATGAGTTAAAACAGTCTCCAGGCCAAACAAAAAAAATATCCACCAGCTCAATTCAGTCCTAGTCTATGTCCTTGAGCTGTGGGACCACTCAGAATCCAGGGAAGCCCCTCCCAAGCCCAGTGTACACTGCTGGCCCTGGGAGATACCCAGTGATGCCAGGATCCCATTCAGACAGACTGTGCTCTCCTTGGACCTTGGCAGAGGTGTATTTTGTGGCCCCAGGTCAAGTCTGAACTCTGCCATTAAATACTTTGGTGACGTTAAGCAAATCACAACGTCTCTGCCATCTCTGAGTTCTTTCTGTCAAAATCCATGTCAGTGATTTTGGAGAAGTAGAATCAGCCTGACACAGGCTGACCAGCATGGTGCTCTTCCCTGAAAAAGAACCTCCTCATTTGTTGGGTTTGAAATCCTCCTAAGAGCCTTTCTCAGCATCAGGAGACAAGGCTTAAAATGTATCCGCCTGGCAGCATGAGCTCCTCCTGTAAGCATATTCACACTAAGGTATAGTGTGATGGGGTGGTCCTCAGGGCACAGAAGGAAGGCAGTATGGAGGAAGCCCTGTGTGGATCATGGGGGCGGGCAGTACAGGTTAATCTTAAGGAATGATTTCCCCCAAAAAAACTTCATGAGATTTTAATGTCTTAAATAGTGCCCTCACATTCTGAAACACAAGATGATTTCAAATTGAATATACTCCAAAGACAAGATTACTCATTACTGCGTTATAATAGCAAAGAATTGGAAATGAATCCAGAAGTCCACTAGGAAGAAAATGGTGAAATTAATTTTGGTATTTCCATACAACAGATTCTAGGGAGACTTAACAAGAAAAGAGGAAGAAGGGACCACTTTGAGAACTGATAAGTAATATTGCCCTCTTTATTATTTTTTAAATGGGTAGGAGTGGCTATATACATATATTTACTTACTATAAATAAAACTTTTCTGGAACAATTCTAATATTTATTGATTCCAAGAAGGTTATGGTAGACTGAGTAATTACACTCTTCCTCTTCTCCCTGTAAGGTACAGTTTGGGCCAAGGCAGAAAAGGAAAGATGACCTCAACAGAAGCAGGTTACCTTTATTCAGGCAAGGAGGGGCAACAGTCAGCCTAACGACCAGGCTGAGCGCCGAGAGGGATCAGGGAGGCTCCATATTTATAGGGAGGTTTGTGGAAGCGATAAAGGAAACGTTAATCAAGCGGAATGTCTTGGGTATTCTTTAGTTGAGATGGCATTTGTAGTTGGGCAGGGGGTGACAAGTCTTCTGGGCAGGTGTAGGGGGTGGATGGTTTCTGGACAGGGGGTGATAGATAGATACAACTGGCCTGGAGCATCAGGGTGGAACTAAAGTTCTGTTTTGTTTTCTCCGAAGTGAGATGATTCAGCAAGGGCCTTTGAGAATGTTGTTTTCTTTTCTAGGCCCAAAAGACTCCTTCATTCCAGACCCTGAAATCATAAGAAAAAAAAAAAAAAATGGGAAAAAGGGTGCCGTATCTCTCTGGCTACTTCCTGTTAGATAGGGGCGATGGTTTTGGGTCTGGAATGGAGGGTTGTCCTAGTGCTCAAGGTCTCCTTTTTCTGAGTTTGGGGTGAGGCTCTCGAGAAGAGTGGTCTTGACTTGATCCTGAGATGGCCCGAATCTGTTCTTGGAGAAATCTTTGAAAGAGATTGAAGAGACAGGGCCCAAATAAGAGGAGTAGAATGATAAATACCAATGGCCCCAGGAAAGGGAGCAACCAAGGGAGTATCTGTTGGAACAGGTTTTCGGGAATTTTGTAACTCTTTTCTGTGGCGTTCAATTCTGTCTCTAAGTTCTTTGACTCTGCCCTGGACTATGCCCGTTTCATTAACAAAATAGCAGCAGTCCTCTCCTAGGAAAAGGCAGGTCCCTCCCTTTTCTGCGGTAAGAAGGTTCAGGGCTTGCCTATTTTGTAGGGCCACAGAAGCTATTCAGTTAATTTGTCTTTGGATTGAAACGAAGGACTCCACTACCTGCTCCATGTCCTCATTAAGTTCTTGGGACAGCTTGTAGTAGAAATGGGCAGAAGTCGAGATGCCTCCAATCCCGGTGCCTCGGGCTGCTGTTATGCCAGTCACAATCAGGAGGGGGGCTATGACAGCTCGTCTTTTCCTGTGGGAAAGTTCCTCTTGGGGGTAGACTATTTGTTCTACCTCTTCTTCTTTGAGGAATGTTAGGCCTGGGGTCAGGAAGACCAAGATGCAGGGTCCAGGGGGGTCCAAGGGGAGACATGAATATGCATAGGTCCCGCAGAGAATGAAGATTCCCGGATTGGTGCAGTTATTTGTGCTGTTCCAGAGAACCCAAGTGGAACAGAAGGAGGGAGTGGAGTTTGTAAGACCAGTGTAGTTGGAACTAGAGTAGTTAATACAGTCTGGGTTTGAAGAGGCTGAGAGTAGGACATTGTCAGAGACTGGCCCATGAGTTGTGTAGTTTTCTGTTGGGAAGGGGAGGTATAGTTGCCCTGTGACAGCCAGGTTGAGGGTAAGGGAATTGCTATGTGTGGTGAGGGAGACAGTGACATGCATATCCAGCACTGGGATGCGTGCTGTGCGTACTGGAAGCATTGGAAGGAAGAGTTGAGAAAGCGGGTAAGGTGTTGGTTGCCAGAGGGAGGTTTTAGGAGAGGCTGTAATTGGGAAAGGAGGTCTAGGCGTTTATAAAGCTCAGGGGTCACCTCTAACTGGGAAATTATGTTCTTTATGACTTGTTCTTGTCTCTTTTCCCGATTTTGATCTAGTACCCCGACCCTGTCTGAGTACCCCCAGTGGGTAATGGGATAGAAACATATGTTTCTTCCATTTGGCTTATGGCAGGTACTCACGAAACTCCCTCTCTTTTGTACTTTGACAGTGAGTAGAGATTTGGACTTCCCGCCCCCGAGGTTCATGGAGCATGGTTTTGGAGCTGTATTATAACATGAGGAATGTACGTGGGAATAAATGTCTGAGCAGGGGCAGGGAGTGGCCAGAAGGCTGGGGAGTGCAGCAAGGATAAGGAGCAGGGGAGTCATGGGCTGTTAGTTAGGCAGTGCAGAGGAAATAGCGCCCTAGGAGCAGAACACAGCCAGCAACGTAGGCGAGACCTACAGAAAGACGAAGGATAGGTGGCCAGTCCCGAGGGGAGATGGTTACTAGGCCTATAGCAAGGATTAAGATTCAGAGTGCAGTTATAGTTAGAGAGACAGGGAGAGGCCAGTCAGGGCGAGGGGCAGAAGGCCCCAAGTTGGTGGTTGTTTGAATCTGAGGAGGAACAGTGCTCATTAGGATGTAGAATGATGTAGAGAATGAGAGTAAATAAATCAATTTCATCTGGAGTCAGGTTGTAGAAGGTTCCCTGGAGCCACAGTTGAGACACCCCAGTGTAGTCAGGTCTTTGAAGAAGGTTCCTGTCGGGTCGCTGGTCCAGAGGCCTTGCAGTAGCTGGGTCAGGAACAGTTGTAGGTTGACGAGAGTCCAGGTCATTCCGTGTCCTCTCGGATGGTTGACA